GCGGCGGCGGGCAGCCCTGGAGGCCGCCCGCGACATGTGGGCCGACTACGTCCTGGTGAGACCCTCCTCGCGCGGGGGTTTTTTTTGGGGCTGGTTTCTACCCGTTGGGTTCACGCATTTGGCTCCCGGCAAGCGAAGGGCCGGTCGGCGCGACCCGTTTGGGTGCCGGCCAGCACGCCGTGACCCGGCAAGCGGTTCTTATCGCCGCGGCGCCCCGGCGACTCGGCGCCGCTCGCTTGGGTCGCGGGGTGCTGGGCGGAAAAATACCCGCTTGTGTGGTAATGTGAGCTGGGATGGGTAAAAACAAGGGGAAAATACCTGCTCGTGTGGTGATGTGAGCTGGGATGGGTAAAAACAAGGGGAAAATACCTGCTCGTGTGGTGATGTGAGCTGAAAAATAAGGGGAAAATACCCACTCGTGTGGTAATGTGAGCTGGGATGGGGAAAAATAAGGGGAAAAATACCCGCTCGTGTGGTAATGGGGACTGGGATGGGTAAAAACGAGGGAAAAATACCTGTTCTTGTGGTGATGTGAACTGGGATGGGTGAAAACAAGGGAAAAAATAACTGCTCGTGGGGTAATGCGAGCTGGGATGGGGAAAAATAAGGGGAAAATACCCATTCCTATGGGAATGTGAGCTGGGATGGGGAAAAACAAGGAGAAAACACCTGCTTGTGTGGTAATGTGAACTGGGATGGGTAAAAACAAGGAAAAAAATAACTGCGCGTGGGGTAATGTGAGCTGGGATGGGGAAAAACAAGGGGAAAAATACCTGTTATTGTGGTAACGTGAGCTGGGATGGGTAAAAACAAGGGAAAAAATACGTGTTCCTGTGGTAATGTGAGCTGGGGATGGGGAAAAATCAGGGAAAAAATACCCGCTCGTGTGGTAACGCGAACGCCCGGCCGTGGGCGCTGAGTTCCTCCTCTTGCTGCAGTTTGTGGACGCCGATAACATCCTGACGAATCCCGACACCCTGGCCCTGCTGATGGCGGAGAACAAGACCGTGGTGGCACCCATGCTGGATTCCCGGGCCGCCTATTCCAATTTCTGGTGCGGAATGACTTCCCAGGTAAGGGACAACCTGTGTTTTCTGTCTCCTGTGACTCCTTTGTTCCCTTCCTACTGCTCGGAGGTATTAGTAGCAATGGTGCTCATTTTTGGGGAGTTTTGCATCCCACTCTGCCTGGTTTCTGCTCCATCTAGAGCTTCCCTCTCTTTTTTCCCCCCCCGAAGATTGGGGGGAAAAATCGGGGATTTTCTCCACCTTGGCTTGGGCAGCTCTGCAAATACTGACTTAAGCAAAACACGACAAGCAACCCTGAGGGTTTGTGTGTGGATTATTCCCTCTCCCAGGGTTATTATAAGCGCACTCCTGCCTACATCCCTATCCGGAAGCGGGATCGACGCGGCTGCTTCGCTGTCCCTATGGTGCATTCCACTTTCCTAATCGACTTGCGGAAAGAGGCTTCCCGGGACCTCGCGTTCTACCCTCCGCACCCCGATTACACCTGGGCTTTTGACGACATTATTGTTTTTGCATTTTCCTGTAAACAGGCAGGTGAGATGGTGGGTAACAGCTTCCCACTGCTTCCCTTCAGCTGAGCCTGAAGGGTATTTTTATAATCTTGTAATCTTGATAATTTTTATAATCTTGTACAAATCGGATTGTGGAGGAGTGGGATTTCAGCAGTGTTTTTTTTTCCTTTCTTTGCACGTGTGTTAATTTTAGAAGTCCAGATGTTTGTTTGTAACAAGGAGGTTTACGGTTTTCTCCCGGTGCCGCTCCGATCCCACAGCACCTTGCGGGATGAGATGGAGAGTTTCATGCATGTCCAGCTGGAGATCATGGGTAAGTGCAACGGAGACCCATGGAATTCCGCTTGGGATCTGCTCTGTGTTATATTCAAGCCTTTCTGGGAGTCTTTCAACCCTCTCGGATTTCTGGGTGATTAGAGGGACAGTTAATGCAGTGTTTTTGGAACAACCTTACGAAAATAACCCTAAAGGAGGGTTGGTTTTGGTTCTTTTTTTCTGTGCCCCGTGAAAGCAGAGACTGTATCTCCTGCTTTGCTTTCTCCCCTCCCATTTGGAAGACTCGCAGTCTCCCTGGATCGCAGTTGGATCCGTCGGCTTCTATTTTAGCTTTCCCTCTCTGCTCTCGGGAAGACGTCTGGGCAGCTCCTTGCCCTGGCACACGCCAGCAGCTCTGACTCTTATGTTTACAGCACGTCGAGGGGAATATTTTGGAGTCTGCTGTCCTCTCTCTGCTCCCTTGGGCATCCTGCTGCCCGAGGCTCACAGTGGAGCTTTGGTTTTGGCTTCACAAAAGTCCTTTTCACGAAAGGAGAGTCTCTGCTCCTATGAAAAACGAAGGGAACGTCGCAGGAAAGAACATTTTTGCAAGTGTAAATATTTCAGGAGAGGCAGCCCAGGTCTCGAGCCAGCATTGTGCTGAAACAGCCTTGTAAATCCGAGACTTTGATGCCAGGGATTTATTTCCAGATTCTTTTTTTTTTTCTGGCCATTTGCAGGCCGCGTGTGCTCCTTCATGCTTCCCAAGTTTCCTTCTCCTTGTCCACAGAAGCAGAATATTTCTGTAAATTCAGCTCTCGCCAATGGTTTTCTGTTCAAACATTCTCTTATTTGCTCATAGATCTGAGGCTGGAAAGCTCTTGTATGAAGAGGAAAAATCTGAGGTGAATAATGAACAAAATTAAGATTGTCCGCTTTAATTAAAACCAAAAAATTAACAAAAATGGCAAGTTTAATTTTGTTAAATCAGCAGTAAAAGCTAAATACATCTTTCCTTCTGGATGTGTACGGGGGATTGATTATTAGTGGTTGGGTGCTTTGCTGTTCTGGCAACAGAAAAAGAGGTGAAAGTCACAGAAAATGTGTTGTCTTCTCTTTCCTCATGCCCACTAGGCTGATAGGAATGTTTGTTTTTATATTGTATTTATATATTTATATTATTTCTGTGTTTTATATTATATTTAAGCAGTTGTCTTTGTGTAATCGCGTTTCCGCGCCCTGCAAAGGACTTGGCGCTGCCGGTGGAGATTCCCTGGATTGTGTCCGCGTGCGCTGACGCTCCCAACAAAACGGGATGCAAACGGGTTTCCTTATGATTTGCCTTTAGTGAAGAACCCTCCAGCGGAGCCGTCGCGGTTCGTGTCCGTCCCGCCCAAGATCCCGGACAAGATGGGCTTCGACGAGGTGAGATCCGTACGATCCCGACGGGATATGACGGGGGATTTGTAGCTGCCTTCACGGACGACCCCGGGTGGTCCCGATGCTCCCGTCCTCTCGCTGCCGTCGGGATGCGACGGGATCACCGCTCCGTTGTCCCCGGGACCCTCCGTGCGCGCGGGGCACAGCAGAGACCCTCCGTTTCCAGGTTTTCATGATCAACTTGAAGCGCCGGACGGACCGACGTGAGCGGATGCTGCGGACGCTGCACGAGCAGCAGATCGAGTGCCGGGTCGTCGAAGCGGTGGACGGCAAGTGAGTATCCTAGGGGAGGAAAGCTTCATCCCAGTGTTTTATCCAACATTTATCCAACATCCAGGTGCCAATAGCGGCCTCCTACTCAATAGGCAGGTTCTAACCCTCCTTCTGCTGCTCCACAGAGCTATGAACAGCAGCGAGGTCGAAGCTCTGGGCATTAAAATGCTGCCAGGTTATAAGGATCCCTACCACGGCCGCCCGCTCACCAAGGGAGAGCTGGGCTGTTTCCTCAGCCACTACAAGATCTGGGAGGAGGTGAGTGAGCAAATGAGAAGCTGCTCCAAAGAGCAGAGCATCCCGTCGGGATTCCTGGCATTGGAGAAAGCACCACAGTCCTCGCTTGGTTAGGGAATGGGTATCTGCAGCTGCCTCTTTTTGGCCAGACCATTGGCGTGAGTATTAGGAAAACTATTTATTGGCTCACGAAATGGGTGTGCGTGGAGGCTGGTTTACAAACCAGGCTCTTCCCTGGCTCTTAGTAACTGCACAAGTTCCTAATCCTGGTGATGGCAAAAGGGTTTTTGTGCATTTTGTAGCTGTCTTGAAGAGGCAAAACGTAGGGATGAGACCGACCTGCCAGCTCTGGATGTCACTGCAGAAATAAGAAGAGGTCTCAGGCTGGAAGGAGAGGGCCACAGCGGCCAGTGTTGCCCGTTCTTGAATTGCCTATTGAAAAAGAAAAAATTCTGCTGTTAAATTGCCAGATTGTTGAGAGGGGGTTGGAGAAATCGGTGGTGTTTGAGGACGACTTGCGCTTCGAGATCTTCTTCAAACGGCGCCTGATGAATCTCATGGATGACTTGGAGGAGGAAGGTTTGGACTGGGATCTGATGTAAGTACGTAAAGCTGAAAAGGCAAATTGAGGCCTTCTGAGGCTCCCTCTCGCAGTTAAACATAATGGTTTCTGCAATGATGCATTTACTGACATATATTATTGCCACAAAATGCTTGTGCTCTAAGGGAGAGGCGTGAAACTGTCTAAGAAATGAAAAAAAAATGCCTTTTTGGTGCTTGTTACACAATTTTAAAGGTATTCAAGGAAAAATACCTTTTTTTTTCCCCTTGGAAGGGGAAGAGCCTGGAAGGGGTTTCTAGCAGGAGACTTAATTTTGCACCTTCCCCTCCTCTTGCAGCTACATCGGGAGGAAGCGGATGCAGGTGGAGCATCCCGAGAAGTCCGTGCCCCACGTGCGGAACCTGGTGGTCGCTGATTATTCCTACTGGACTTTGGCCTACGTGATTTCCCTGCAGGGAGCCCAAAAGCTGCTGGCAGCCGAGCCGCTCTCCAAGATGTTGCCCGTGGACGAGTTCCTGCCCGTGATGTTCGACAAACACCCCGTGTGAGTCCCGCTCACCTTCCGAGGGGCGCTCTGCACGCGGGGTCGGATATCTTGGGAATTGCGCCTTGAGGAAGACGTTTGTCGTGGGTGGAGAAACTGGAGAAAACTCCAGAAAACTCCTTTTTTCTCGAGTTGGATCCATTTTCTTTGGAGTCTGTCCTACTCGTAACAATTCAGAAGCACCTTTTGTTTCCCACACTGATAGTGACCTGCAGGGTCACCCAGGCTGCTGGGTCCGCAGATCCCTTCGGTTTCCTTGTGCCTCAACAGGGACTGATTATTTTTGTTTGTTTGTTTAAAAAATTCTCAAATATCTCCTGAAAAAGGAGGATCTGGACCCGAAGGGGTCGCTGTGTTGTGCTGATGTCCTTGGAAGGAGTCTGGATTGAAAGGCCGAGCACGTTATGAGGCTAAATTAAGGCTGGAAGTGGATTGTGAGTGAATGTGCTATTAATTTTTTCTTCTTTTTCCCTTTTTTCTGCCCAGTTCAGACTACATGAAGCACTTTGAAAGCCGGAATTTGCTGGCGTTTTCCGTGGAGCCCCTCTTAGTTTATCCAACCCACTACACGGGCGACGACGGCTACATCAGCGACACGGAGACCTCGGTGGTGTGGAACAACGAGAAGATCAAGACGGACTGGGATCGCGCCAAGTCCCAGAAAATGAAGGAGCAGCAGGAGCTGCGAAACGAGGCCAAGAACTCGGATGTTCTGCAGTCCCCTCTTGACAGCACAGCCCGGGATGAGCTATGACGGGATCGAGTCCGCGGGATGGACATAAGGACCGGCTGGTAGGGAGGAGCGCGGGGAGATGACGACGGGTCTACGGTTCTTGCTGCAACGGGGAGGTAGGGGAATTGCTAGAGCTTCATTATGTGGCCGAGGATGCAGGTGACAAAGGTGACAAAGCCGGTGAGGGTTTGTGCTCGGAGCCCTGCCGACCTCCGGAGTTTCGGGATGCGAGGAGGAGGATGATGCTGAAAACCAGGCTGGCTCCTTGGGCGAGACCCTCCTGCAGCTGCTGCCAGGTCAGGGCTTTCTTTTCCATGTGGGAACGCGGGACTCGCCAGGGAGATTCTTTGGACTCGCGTTGCTGCACACAAGAATCTGCCTTGGAATTTCACCTTGCGGTCGGGGTTGGCAATGCCTGGCAAAGGTCTGCAGCTTCCAGCTCATGGAATTCCCTGACGATCCCTCCGAAGAGGGAGGCTGAAGCTTCCCCTGGCTCTGAGACCTATTTTTCCTCTTTTTATAAAATAGAAAAGTCTTTGGCCATGACTTCACCAGTCCCATAGCAGGGAAGCTCCCCGAAGTGCCTGGGGAAGGAGCGCGGCACAAGCTGGACTCGGTCGAGCTCGTACTCCATTTTTAAGTATTTTATTACCGAGATTCCCAGAGAAACTCGAGAAACTATTTTTATATATTAAAAAAAAAAAACCAGGAAATATTTTTAATAGGGACTATTAAACTTAATGGCCGTGACACTGGGTGCACTGCAATACAGAGGCGGGGAGAGGCCCAAGGTGCTGTGACATGCCCGGCATTTTCCGTGTCAACCCCACCGCTTCCGTCCCAAAAAAGCCTGAAAATCCCCAAATCCGCCATCAAGGGATCGCCTCCAGGTTCCGAAGCGCCCTGTGCTCTAGAGCTGCCATTTCCCCCCTCCTCCCCTGCGCGAAAGTGTCGGTCAAATAAAAGTCGTTGCCTCTTCCCGGCGCACGCCTGGTTTCTCGGGATGTGGCTCCCAGCGCCTCCTGCTTCCCGGCTGCTTTTGGGTGGGTTTTGGGCCCCATGGCCACGTTTCCAGATGGTGCTGGAAGGCAGCGGTGGCTCCAGCGCAGCTTCTTAGACTGGGGAGGGCAGGAAGCTGCTGTTTGGGAAGCAGGCGGCCCGGGGCCTCCATGGGCACCGGGGCCCTACAGCCTCCC